TGGACTTTCCATAAACCGCGAGGTGTGCCTTCAAGGACGTAAGATATCTAGCAATATTCTGATTTACCTGGCAATATTTTGCTGGTTCTAAAAGTTCATTTATCATCTCTATGATATTGACTCACCAATATTTGTCGCTCCAATTACAGCCTGCGTCATACCGTGATATCCATTACGCATAGACAGCAAATCGAATCGACCTGTATGAACTCGGGCCAGAGTCAGAGCAAGATCGTTCGCCTCAGATCCTGAGTTTGTGAAAAAGCATACCTAGAAATGAAAAGGCAACATGATTAGGGCCATTTTCTCTGCAGACGCTGGTGAGTGTCATGGTCTGGGCGACAGCTCGTTCTTCACTAATTCTTGAAGCAAGCAACAACAATTGGTAAAAAACGTATTGGTTCGGCTGTTAGCATAGCTGTCCCTGACAGAGTCCTTGTTTCCACTGTTAGTGTAATCGATGCGAAAGTCAAGCGCGACTAAGCCACGTGCGCATTCCTTAAGGGGTGGCAAGAAGCCGACAAAAAGGAGCCAGATGGCTCGCCTGCATAGACTGTGCGCGTGCGCCCATACTAACTATCAGTGCCTTCATCTCATTCACTCAATGTTGATGCTTTTTTCACGTTTGCTTTGACGCCTTGTATTTTAGTGGATCGACAATCGATTGTAATGTATTCATTTGATGTTATATTCATTGTTTAATTAGCCAATTTTCAGGTAAAATCGTTTTGCGCTCCGTGTTGTGTCTCAGAAGTGTGCTATACTCACAGCTATACTTGATATTATATTATTCAATACAAACAAGATGCGTCGGCCGGAACGGCTATGAAGTACTTTCAAAGTGGGATGCAGGAGGACAGCTGATGCAAACAGTATGTAAGGTAATAGACTTCTGCTAGACCATAGACTGTAAACTTTGCGCTTCAGTCCTATTCTATCTGAAGTGCTGTCCCTTGAACAATCATCTTACTCGGAGTAATACTAGCAGCCTTTTAATACCTACTACTATATGTACCCGTGACGATCGGGAAGCCAATACCTATAATCCTCAGTTCTTTGAAGTACCTTATATAAATAGGTAGATTCACTGGCATGCACAGGAGAGCCTGCGCCAAATTAGAAGGCACAGGAAACCGTCAGCAGTAGCGCAGTTTGCCCTTGCGATGGCCATTTCGATAGCACTGTTAGCACTGAATCATTTGAAAACACGTGTTAAGACACCCTAGATGGTTAGACTTACCCTAGTGGTTAGATACCCTTGAATATTTAATCACGCTCCCAGAATTATTGAGAATAAACGCTTTTTCAGCATGAAGCATTTCAAGTCTAATTTCTAACTCGACCTTGGTAGCAAACCTAAAAGTTCATTGGAATAGAGTTACTTCTAGGATGTAAACAAAAAACTTTGTACTTCACACGTTCCACCACTTCCACCACCTTGGAAGTCTTTGTCAGCAAAAGACGCGCTACTATAAGATCATGCACAGAACAGGATGCCCTGGCATAAATACCTCATCACTTATGCCAGAACAGGGAAAGCTTTGCGCGTGCCAAACCAGATGATTCGAATGGAATTCGTGACATGGAATCTGTGCGCAACGATGTGCAGTCGAAGAACAGCTGCAAGGTCTTCAAGAAGCGCTGCCGCCCCTTCCTCGTCCAGAAGACCTTCATGAGGCTTTTGCTTTTGAGTTTAGTGATTGTATCCAAGGTGCTGAAACTTTAGGAACTCGCTTGAAAACTTTATGTCTTTTTCAAGCTTCTATTTCTTCTCGAGCGCATGAAACACAATTTGTCGAGTTACATGCTGACTATCTGCGCATGAGCTTCCCGTAGGATCTCAATTGCGTACCCTATATGCAGTGCCTCCACTACTGTTCGCACCGGATGAGCGATCAAGAATGGGGTCACCTCCTAAACGCGCCCCGTAAAGCTCTCGGTGAAGGTGGAGACCACCAAAACACCACCGACCAGCTGCAGGACATTGCCTCCATCAGGACAGTACTTCAAGATCGATAAAGGGATTACATGAGTGA